TCATCTTTAGATATTGATTTCTGATCCATTTGGTCTGTGCACCTGCCACACTCTTGAATCCACCACTGCCAAGTAACAGACACAGCAGAGAAAACATTACTTAGGTGTGTGTATTCTGAATATCCTATTCATAGGAATATAGTGTCTCCCACAGGTATGTACCCATTGAATTAATAAAAACATCCATATCTTTCATATTCTCATTATTAAGATACCTATTATCCTAGAATGCCACTTTTAAATGTAGTTCTTATTGCTTTGTTGAGTGACATAAGTAGTTCAGATAAAATAGGGTATTTAAAGGCATATCAGCAACTTCTTGAACACTTACTTTAGAATGATTTTTTGAATAAGGAAGACTCAGGCCCTGATAGAGTATTTCTCATTATCTATCGCCTAAAAATAAGTGAGAACATACAGTATCTTAGTTTCTGTTCCTGCATTAGTTTGCTAAGAGTAATGAACTCCAGTTCCATCATATTCCTACAAAGGACAGAATTTCATTCTTTTTTTAGCTGCATAGTATTCCATGGTTATATGTATCATATTTTTCTTTACCCATTCTGCCAGTGATGGGAAAGTAGGTAAATTCCATGTCTATGCTATTGTGAAGAGGACTAAAATGTACCCACATGTTTGCATTTCTTTTTTTTTTTTTTTTTGTAAAAAGTGTTTTTTTTAAAGAGAGAGAAACAGAAGGAGAGAGAAAGGAACAGCTAACTCTCACACTGAGTGAGAGAATCCAGAAAGATGGAATCCAGTAGAGGAAAGCAGCTTCCATACTGAATGGAAGGGAATAGAGAGAGATGAAGTTTAGGAGAAGACAGGCTTCCACGAGAGAGTGTGGAAGGGAACCCCAGAGGGAAAATCCAGGAGAAAGAAAGACGGCTTCCATGAAGGGAGTGTTTGTGGAAGGGGACCCAAACATGGAGTCCCCCATGTTTATATTTCTTTAATTTTATGTTCAGTTTGGGGATTGTTGGGTTGAATTAAACTTCTGTTTTTGGTTGAGATCACCACACTGCTTTCCACAATGGTTACACTAATTTATATTCCCTCCAAAAGTGTATAAGTGTTCCTTTTCTCTACAACCTTAACAGCATTTGTTATTACTTAAGATTAGCCATTCTGACTGGTGTGAGATGGTACTTCACTGAGGTTTTGCTATGTATTTCTGTAATGATAGCGATATTCAGCATTTTTTTCTTATGTTTGTTGGCCACATGTAGGTCTTTTTTACAAGTGTCTTTTTATGTCCTTTAGCCACTTTTTCTTCTTGTATGTTTAAGTTTCATGTAGATCCTCAATATTAGACATCTGTCAAATGCATAGGTCGAAATTTTTTTTCCCATTCATAGGTTGCCTGTTTACTCTGTTAATAGTATCTTTCGCTATGCAGAAGTTCTTCAGTTTACTTAGGTCCCATTTTTCCATTTTCGATTTTGTTCCAATTGCTCTAGCATTTTCATCATAAAGTCTTTGCCAGTTCTTATGTCCTAAATTGTATTTCCTAGGTTATTATCCAGAATTTTTATAGTTTTAGGTTTTACATTTGTATGTTTAATTCACATAGAATTTGTTTAAATTGATGCTAAAAAGCATTTGATGAAAACACCCTTTCATGAACAAAAATCTTTAAAAATGAGTATAGAAAGAACACATCACAACATAATAAAAGTTCCACTCAAAAGGCTTTCAGGTAGTATTATACTGAATGAGAAATAACAACAAATTTCTTCTCTAAGATCTAGAACATAACAAATATTCCCACGTTAAGTACTGTTAAAGCATAAACTCTTCAGCTGCCACCAGAGGCAGCTCTCACCTACAAGTACCACCTACTGGCCTGATGTTCAAACTGCATGACCTAATACAAAGTCACTACCACCAGCATACAGCACTCAAAAATGAGATTAGCTTTCAATACTTCTGTGATTCCAGCTCCACAAAAGACCATGAGGCAACTCACATGGCCAATATGTTACTAGTACCACTGGAATTTGAAAAAGCCACCACACCAAAGCCATTAATAACAAAATAAATCATACAGAGTATATGTTTCTCACCTGGCCATTCCCATCAAGGCTGGTGCTTTTGCTTGTCAGGCTTCGTGGTTGACCTCTGCCCAGCTTCACCCCCCTCTAAGGGGCTGAGCAGAGAACTCAGGTCACTGTGCATTTCATAGACCAGCCCACTGCCTGAGGCAATGGAGAGCATCTCCCCGTGCACAGATTATCAATCACGTACACATGTGCTTCTGCCACAGTCAGCTCAAATCTGTAAGGACCACCTACTGACTTGAAGGATGAATTGAACAATGCAATACAATATCTGCTGAAACAAATGCATTCCAAATTAGAAATGGTTCCTGAGGCCTCAACTATCAAGGACCTGCAGGAGGCAGGGAGCCTGCTCCCAGGCCCAGTACATTGTTACTACAACCAGCATTTCAGGAAGCCACTAAGTAATGGTTATCTATAGACGAGGAACTCTTTTCTTTTTTTTTTTTTTTTTTTTTTAGATGAATTCTCACTGTCACCCAGGCTAGAGTGCAGTGGTATGATTTCGACTCACTGCAACCTCCTGCCACCCTGGTTCAAGTGATTCTCCTGCCTCAGCCTCCTGAGTAGTTGGGATTACAGGCATGTGTCACCATACCCAGCTAATTTTGGTATGTATTTTTTTTTAAAATGTGTATTAACAGGAGTATGTTGTTGTTGTTGTTGTCCTCACAAGACATGGCATCAGCTGCATGTATCCTGGACCCTTTACCACTGCACACACAGATCCAGTGCCACTATGAACACACTGGATTCAAGGATACTGCAAATTCCAAAATTGGTGTCCCCCAAACAGGTGACTCTGAACACACCAATACATCAGCTCTGCATGTCCCTACAGCCAAGGATGCACACAGTACCACCAGAGTAATACATGGCCCTGTCGTCGGCTCTCAGGCTATTCATTTTGCAGATACAGTGATTTCTTGACTTTGTCTCTGGAGATGGTGAATCAACCCTTCAGAGTTCGGAGAGCTTGTGCTACTCCGTCTACTGCTGAGACCCACTCCAGTCCCTCCCCTGAAGCCTGGAGGACCCACCTCATGCAGTAGCTACTAAAAGTAATCTAGAGGCTGCACAGCAGAGTCTCTGGGACCCCTGGGCTTTACTAAGCCTCCTCCAGGCTCCTCAAGAGGCACCTCACACTGGACACCTGCAAATACAGAGACATCCTGGTCAGAAACTGCCACACATATCCACTGTTTCTCTCACTCGTATCCACCCACACTCAGTATCTCTAGTTCTCCATGAATCACCTTTCAAAGTGAATCCTCAGCATTCAGAGAGCGGAACACTAAATGGAAACTCCTGGTAGCTCTGAACTGGGGCTCTTCTCCTATAGAGGCAGGACGAGGGCTGGGCTGGTTTTCATCAGCAGAGGGAGAACCCTATTTGCATGTCTCCTCCTCTATTGCAAGCTCTGGTTGGGACACCAGAGGACAGAGCAGTGCTCAGTTTAGATGTGAGACTCCTGGAGGAGCTTAGTGCCAATGACAACATCTGGGAAAATATAATTTCTTATTATGTGATTCTGCCATTAAAATTACTTAGCAATTATTATTTACTTTTTACGTATTTGTACAAATAGAAATAAAACTGCATTAAGCAAACTTTAAGAGAAATAGAGAGAAAAATAGAAAACAATAAAAATTAGGAGGAGAATTTAACATTTCACTTTCAATACTGTATAGAACATCCAGAAAGCTACTCAGGAGGCTGAGGTAGGAGAATCACTTGAACCTGGAACATGGAGGTTGCAGTGTGCTGAGACTGCACCACTGCACTCCAGCCAGAACATCATGAGACTCCATCTCAAAAAAAAAAAAAAAAGAAATTTCTTAAGAAGCCAGTGGACTTGAACAGTACTATTGAACAAACTGATCTAACAGAAATCTGCAGAACTTTGAAACTAAGAGCAGTGTAATATGCATGTTTCCCAAGCACAGACTAAATATTCTCCATGGTAGGTCATATGTTAGATGACCCAACATTTAAAGAAGTAATACCAGTCATTCTCTCACTTTTTCAAAAATTGGTAAGGTACCGAACTGCCAGTCTTTACATAAGGTTAAAATTATCATATTTCAGTAATAGACAAGGTCCCAAAAAAAGGAAACTACCAACCAATGTTCCTAGTAGATATTAATGACCCCCCGCCCCACACACACATACTACAAATAACAGTCAACTACAGGACTTTACAAGGATTGTACACCACGACCATCTCAAATTTATTTTTGAGTTGCACAGATGATTCAAAATCCTTAAAACAATAAATTTGTTATGCCAAATTAAGATAAGGTGAAAAAGGCCCCATTAACATCGCACCAGACAGAACATAACATTAAAAAAATTCAAAGTTTCAAGATAAAACTTGAAACTATCATTCTCAGCAAACTGACAGAAGAGCAGAAGATCAAACACCACATGTTCTCACTCATAGGCGGGTGTTGAACAATAAGAACACATGGACACAGGGAGGGGAGCACTACACACTGGAGTCTGTTGGGGGAAAATAGGGGAGGGACGGTAGGGGGTGGGGAGTTGGGGAGACATAGCAAGGGGAGAGATGCCAGATGTAGGTGATGGGGAGGAAGGCAGCAAATCACGCTGCCTCATATGTGCCTATGCAACAATCTTGTATGTTCTTCACATGTACCCCCAAACCTAAAATGCAATAAAATAAATAAATGAAAAAGAAAAAAAAATCTTGAAACAAAGCAGCAATACAAGAAAATAACCTGTACATAATAAAAGCCATTATGATTAGCCATAGCTATTATCACAATGGTGAAGTGTTATAACATTTTGATCTAATATCTGTAACAAGACAAGAAGAAACTTGGAAGCATTTTACTCTCAGACTTGAAAATTACTTACAAAAATAATCAAAACAGGATGCTATCGGCATAAATACATACAGAGAGATCAGAAATAGACCCACATATTGATGGTAAACTGATTTTCAACATTTTCCATGCAATGGCTAAATCATACTCTCTCCCTAAGAGGGTATGAAGACAAAATGGATTTTCACATGCAAAGAATTAAACATTTTAGTTGAGAATAAGCACAAAAAGTCAACTCTAAGTGGGATAAACAGTTAAATATACAGCCTGCAATTGTAAAATTCTCTCCCACGAAAAGGTTAAAAATGATTTCCTAGATTTAACATTAAAAGCACAGACAACAAAAGGAGAACTGAGCAACTGGAACTACATCAAAATATAAACATTTTGCAAAGCAAGGAAAAAAATTCAAACTTACAGAGTGGGAGAATATAGTTGCACACTATGCATCTGAAAAACTGTGAATACCTAAAATATATATGTAACTTCTACAATTCATTAGCAGGTCATAACAGCCTGATTGTCAAATGATCGGTTTTATGTAAAAAAAATGTAAGAATTTTAGATGTCATGTAAAAGATTCTCCATGGGTCATAATCTGCTTTACCATATACTTGGTTAGGGTATACTTTACAGTTATTCAAACACTAATCTAGGTGGTGTTGCAAATTTAGAATTAAAACTGTCAATTGACTCTAAGTTAGGTAGATTGTCATTGATTACAAGGGTGTGCCCAATTCCATCAGAGCAGAACTAGAGAAGGTGAAGTTCTAGAGTGATCCAGCAGCTTCACCTCTCTCTGAGACTTCCAGCCTGCACTGACTGATGACCAGTCTTATGGATATTGTACTTCCCTGGCCATGCCCCAAAATCATCATCCCCGAAATCTCACAGAAAAGTGATGTGTCCATCTGCACTTTGTCAAATCTGAATAACAGACAAAAAGAGACTCTAAAGTAAAATGATAATTTATTTGAAGATGGGCATTGCAATGGGAATATGGGTTCACTCAGGCAGGCAAAGGAATAGAAAGGATTAAAGATAAAATGAAGAGGGTTACATACACTTTTTTGAGACAATTATTCTGGACTAGAAGAATCAATAAGGGTGGCATAGGTCCAGTCTTAAACAGAGAGTTGCTGGGCAGATTCCTCATAGAAGTAATTCTTTTAAGGTTGTGGTGACCTTTGTGGAAGGTTGTGGTTCTCCAGAGTCTATTTATGATAGTTCTTGTTATCAGGAATGAGCATGAGAACATTTGTTATGGCCTTCCCCAGCTTCATTCAGCAGGGTTTTAACTCAAGTGACCCAATTTTGATTCTGACAACTTTCTCAAGTTGTTTCTAACACTATCATTTAATAAAGTGACTCTGAAAGTTTGTACAGCACAGGGTCAATTCCACCTCTGTATCTCATGTTGACCAAACAAGCTTATCCCTTTCAGTTTTGCCTAGCCAGCTGCATTCCCAGATGAGTCTTCACACATTACAGTGGAGGGTCCTGAGCAACACGACAGAAGAAAGGCCCATTAGCCTCCCCAAGGTGGCTGTAGGAGCCACAGCCTGAGACACACCTGAGCTCCAAGAGAAGGGCTTGAGCCCTGTAATTTAGTCCACAGAGACCCATCTTTCTTATTGCAGTGAGCAGGAGAAGCACGTGAAAGAGGGAGAAGAAAAGTAAGTGGAAAGACATTCCATAGGGAGCAAAAGAAGCACCAGATCAGTGCTGGTGCTGACTTGTACACTTTACTGTCAGGAGAAGGGTCAGATGTGAAACCTGTGGGAATCTATATGATGCTGACTCCAGCTCAGTCTCTCTATCAACTGTGCTTAGAATCCCTAAAGCCTGTTCCAGTCAGGGGATCTCACCGAGGTTTCTATCCTGGATCTGATTGGGGAAGACTCACCAGGAACCCCTGAGCTTCCTCAGGAGTCTCATCCTGGGAACCATTGTTGAGAAATTCTCATCTCTGTAAGCTTCAATCTGCATTTTGTGCACGTAAGAACAGTTCCTCGTATTAAAGAATACTATGCAGCCATAAAAAAGTATGAGTTCGTGTCCTTTGCAGGGACATGGATGAATCTGAAAATCATCATTCTCAGCAAACAGACACAAGAACAGAAAACCAAACACTGCATGTTCTCACTTATAAGTGGGTGTTGAACAATGAGAACACATGGGCACAGGGAGGGGAACATCACACACTGGGGTCTGTTGGGGGTTGGGGGGCTAGTGGAGGGATAGCAGGGGATGGGGAGATTGGGGAGGGATAACAGTAGGAGAAACACCTAACGTAGGTGAAGGGGGGATGGAGGCAGCAAACCACCATAGCATGTGTATACCTATGTAACGATTCTGCAAGATCTGCACATGTACCCCAGAACTTAAAGTATAATTTAAAAAAAGATAAAGCTGAAAGTTCAAATAAGTTGTGGAGGGATTGTAAAAATAAATCTTGTCAAATAAAAAACAAAATCATAATAATTAACCCACAAAATGTAAAATTTAGAAAACACTGATGTAACCATCACCATTACTAAGACAGAAAACAAATCAATTGTCCTCCAAATTTTATCTTGTTCTCTTGCAACACCTTCCTCCCTCTTCTTTTCTCTCACCTTTTCCCCATTCACATACTGACCTTTTTCATGTTACTTTAGTTTCTATTTTGTAGGCTGTATAAAAGTGTAATCATACAGGATGTAGGGTTTTTTGGCTTATTTTACTTAATATGTACTTATGAATTTAGTTCTCTTGTGATTCTATCAACTTTTGTAAATTGTAACGATGAGAAGAATGCCAATGAATGAATTTGCTAAATTCGGTGTTTAATCTGACACCCTTTGGCATTTGCTGACACTGGAAAAAAGATACAGAGTTAATCTGTCTAGCAATGGATAATTGAATAAAAGGAATGTGGTATTTACACACAATGAAAAATAATTTATTCATAAAAAAGCAGGAAATTATGTCTTTGACAGCAGTATGGATGGAACTGGAGGTCATTTTCTTAAGCCTAACAACTCATAAACAGAAAGTCAAATATGGCTTTTTCTCACATATAAGTTGGAGCTAAAAAATGGGTAGACATAGACACAGAAAGTTGAAAAATAGACATGGGAGACTCATACAATTTGGAAAATGAGATCACTAATCACTTAGTGGTTCCAAGGTACTATATCTGTTCAGCTTACTTTAAAAACTCAGACTTTATCACTATGCAATATATTTATGTAACATAAATATATTTTACCCAACATAACTATTAAAAAACTTAAAAAAGGCAAACACACACACACACACACACACATACACACACACAAATGAGATATTTCAAAAAGATGAAGGAGACAACTGGAAAAAGCTTCCAATTTCCAAAGAGTTGGAAAATTTCAACCAAAGTATTAAATAAATATTTATAAAAACATACTCATTAATAAACTAATAAAATTCATGAGAGAAGAAGGATGTTTATCTGAAAGAGTATAATTACACAAAATTTTGTTGCTATTTCTCCATTCAAAGAGTTGGAGTTTAACCTCCATTTGTTAATTATGACATAGGCTTTGGTGCATGAGAAAAATTCTTGCTTCCCTTAAGCTTCAGAAATTTTAGATATAAGACAATAAAATGATATAAAAAGTAGTGAATTTCACAGGGTCAACATTTTTTACATGATGTGAAAAACACTCTGATGTAGTAATGTAGAGACAAATCCCACAGCTAGTAATTCTTTTTCAAGGCCAATGCAGAGACGACTATTCCTAGGTTGTCTTCCTACATTTTTTTGTAGTTTGAAATCTTAGCTTATATAATCCATTTTTAGTTGATTTTCTTTTTCATAGGGTGATAGTTGGGAGTAAAGTTTCCATCTTCTGCCTATGGCTAGCAAGTTATACCAGCACCATTTATTGACTAGGTTGCCCTTAACCAATGCTTGTTAAGTTTGTTCAGAGTTGTCAAAAAACAGAGAGTTGTAGGTGTGCAGCTTTATTTTTGAGTTTTCTATTCTATTTCGTTGATCTATGTGTTTGTTCATGTATCAGTACCAAACAGCTTTTGTTTTTGTGGCTTTATAGTAGAGTTTAAAGTCAGTGTGATCTTTCTGTCACTGTTCTTTTGGCTTAGGATTACTTTGGCTAGTTTAGCTCTTTTTTGATTACATACAAATTTTAGAATAGTTTTAAAAATATTTCTCTGAAGAATAAAACTGGTATATTGATAGTAATAACATTGAATATGTAAAATTTGAAGGGAAATATTGCCATTTTTACAGTATTATTTCTTCCAATCCATGAGCCTGGAATTGTTTTTCCATTTATTTTTCCTCTCTGATTTATTTCCACAGTGTTTTGTAGTTCTTCTTGCAGAGATCTTTCACCTCCTTTGTTAACTGTTTCATAAGTATGTTTTTTTTTAAGATATTATAAGAGGGATTGTGTCCTTTATTTTGTTCTCACCCTGAATGTTGTTGGTGTGTAAAAAAGCTACTGATTTTTGTATATTTATTCTATATCCTGAAACATTACTTAAGTTATCAATTCTAGGATTCTTTTGGAAGCGTCTATAGAGTTTTCTATGCATAGAATCCTGTCAACGGTAAATTGAGAAGTTTGAATACTTATTTAATTATGTGAATGTCTTTTGTTTCTTTCTCTGGCCTGATTTCTCTGGCTAGCACATCCAGTACTGTGTTAAATAGGAGTGATGAGAGTGGGTACTCCTGTTTTGCTGCAATTATGAAGAGAATGATTTGAGCTTTTGTTGATTCAATATGATGTTAGCTGTGGGTTTGTCATACATGCCTCTTATCATTTTAAGGTACGTTTCTTTGATGTCTAGTCTGCTGAGGGTTTTTATCATGGAAAATGTTGAATCTTATAAAAAGTTTCTCAGGATCTGTTGAGATAATCATATAATTTTTGGTTTCTATTCTGCTTATGTGATGAATCACCTTTATTGATTTGTGTATGTTGAGCTAACCTTGCATGAAAGGTGTAAAACCTACATGATCATAAGGTATTAACTTTCTAATGTGCTAGCACATTCAATATGCCAGTATGTTCTTGAAGATTTTTAGGTCTATCATCAGGAATATTGGTCTAAAATTTTCCTCTTTTGCGTGTCTCTGCCAGATTTTGTGTTCCAAGAACACTCAATGAGGAAAGGATAGACTTTTTGACAAATGGTGTAAAAACTGGGCATCCATATGCAGAAAGGAAATGAGATCTTATCTCACATCATATACAAAAGTCACCTAAGAATGTACTCAAGCCTTGAAAATAATATGATATGTAAAACTGTAAACTCAGAGAGAAAAAAAGAAGCATCCTGGAATTAATCTGGAAAATTATTTATATGGATTTGACACCAAAATCACAGAAAAATAAATTATGTGAAATTGTATATCTAAGAGGGGTTCTATCTAAATGTATAAAGGACCCAAACAATAGCAAAAAATACAAATAAACTGATTTTTAAGAGGGTAAAATTTGTGCATAGACTTGTGTATTCTAGGGAAGACATACAGTCAGCAGGACGTAGAAAGGTGATCAACATTGCTGATCTTCAGAAGAATTCCAATCAAAACCACAGTGAGATATCACCTCAGGTTGCTTAACATGAATATTATCACACAGACAAAAGACAATGAAATGCTGACAGTAAGCTGCTGAAAAGGGAATTATTCAATGGTGTGGTAGTAAAGGTTATTTTAGAAATTGAAAGTGAAACTATTATGTAATCTGGTGATCCCACTTCTGGCTATATATTCAAAGGAAATAAAATCAGGAAGTTAAAAACACAGGTCTATTACAAGATTATTCACAATGGCCTAGAATTTTTTAAAGTTAATTGCCATAGGTAAATGGGTGTATAACGGAAATGTATACACATACGGTGGAATATGATTTGACCTTTAACAAAAAGGAAATTATAATATTTCCAATATCATGGATGGGCCTGGAGAACATTATTTTAAATGGAATAAGTCAGACATAGAAAGACAAATGCTGCATTATTTCATTGTTATGTGGAATCTAAAATATTCAAATTCTTAGAAGTGGAGAGTAGTAAAGTGGCTCTCAGGGCTGGGAGGAGGGGAAATGGAGTGATGCTTGTCCAGGGCA